GTGATCAACTGGCCTCAGCCTCCCAAAGTGCTGGGATTACAGGCATGAGCCACCACCGTGCCCGGCCCCAGCAATCTTGAAGTGACCGTGCTAGAGAGGCCATATGGAAAAACCATAAAGAGATGGAGAAAGATGCTGGCTGCACCCCAGCTACAGGGCTGGGACTAAGATGAAAACCAGAGTCCTTGCTTACAGCACAATACCCAAAGGGACGCAAAAAAAAACCCTTGGTAATCAGGATCAATGATGTTTTAGTTTAGCAAATTTGCTTATTTGTTTATTATTTTTTGAGATGGGGTCTTGCTGTGTTGCCCAGACTGATCTTGAACTCCTGGGCTCAAGTGATCCTCCCACCTCAGCCTCCTGAGTAGCTGGGATTACAGGCATGTGCCATCATGCCCAGCTTAAGGTAAATAATATTTTAATGAACAGTATTTTAAAAGTAACTATTAAAGCAAAAAACATCCGTGATGAATACATATCAAAATTTTACATAAAGACAGGCTGCGACACAGCTGTTGGGTCCTAGCCATACTGGAACTTGCGGCAAAAGGAAAAATTTACATCCCTCTATGCATATTTTTAAATGGTCAATGGTTTTAGTAAAAATATTTGCATATTTTTAAATGGTCGATGGTTTCAGTAAAAATGTTATCAATGATTTTGCATCTGTTAAAGCCAGAAAAATAAATTTATAATAAATTTTGGCTTGGGTATAAGTAAAATATTTAAACTTAATGTTAGTTTTAACACATAATTTTCAACTTTTTAGTATATTGTTTAATTATCTTAATGTTCTTGGGAAAAAAATAACAAAATAACTGATTTTTTTTTTAGCCACCAGTTTTGGTGGTGATTTGTTCAGTCCAGCAGTAATTAGTTGGAACAGACACTGTTCATTAATCAGTCCCTTCATGCCAGAAGGGAAAAATATGTCCCAAAGGTCCCGCCTACTTCCTTTTAGGAGGCCCCCACACATTGCTCACCTCCCATTTCCCTTTGCAAAAGGCACACCCACTTCCCTTTGCAAAGCCCCACTTACTACATTTGGGAAGCCCCACCCACTTCCCTTTGCAAAGCCCCACCCACTACATTTATGAAGCCCCACCCACAGCCCTTTGCAAAGTCCCACCTGCCACATTTGTGAGGTCCCATTGCATCTCTGCTTACCTCCCACTTTCTTTGAAAGGCCACACCCACTTCCCTTGTAAGGTCACACCCCCTCCCTCTGCTCACCTTTCACGTCCTTTGAAAGGTCACACCCACTTTCCTCACAAGGCCTCACCCACCTTTTCTCACCATTCACTTCCTTTGAGAGTCCCCACTTACTTCCTTTGAGAGTTCCCACCCTTGCCAGGTCCCACCTCCTCCCTCTGCTCACGTTTCACTTCCTTAGGCCACGCCCACTTTTCTTGCAAGGCCCTGCCCTCCCCTTTCCCCAGTGCCCACCTCCCACACTTACAGAGTACAAGTTGTTGTTCTCCTTCATTGGCAGTCTGTACTGGATGATGGCTTTTAGGGGCTCCAGGCTACTCTGTGGAATCTGAAAGAAAGTTCTCTGTGGGCTTCATGGCAGCCCAGCCCTGGGAAAGACTAAAGCTAGGTTGGATGTCCTAAGCTCTCTCCAGCAACTCCAGCCTTTTTTTTTCTTTTTTTTTTTTGAGACACAGCCTTGCTCTGTCGCCCAGGCTGGAGTGCATTGGCGCAATCGCGGCTTACTGCAACCTCCACCTCCCGGATTCAAGCCATTCTCCCACCTCAGCATCCCGAGTAGCTGGGATTACAGGCATGCGCCACCATACCCAGCTAATTTTTGTATTTTTAGTAGAGACGGGGTTTCACCATGTTGGCCAGGCTGGTCTCGAACACCTGACCTCGGGTGATCCACCTGCCTCGGCCTCCCAAAGTGCTGGGATTGCAGGTGTAAGCCACTGTGCCCGGCCTCTTTTCTTCCCCTGCCCACACTATAAAACGCTGCTATTGGTCTTGACTGACCCCAAATGACCTGGTTTCAGGACTCCTGGATTTTTTGTAGTCCATATCACTAGCTTCCAACAGTGTAGGTAGAGGATGACAGCAATCTGCCTGAGACAACACATCTCTGACCGAATTATGCTACACAGAAATATGGATCTTGGTTGATGAGCCACAGGAAGTCCCTCCCGCTCTCTGTTTTCCAGGACTTTTCACCTTGCAGCCCAGATTTAGCTAACCTTTTAGTTGGAATCAGGCAACAAAAATCCTCCATGAAGTTGGCTGGAACCTGGACAAGTGCAGAGCCCTCTACCCATACCTAGCACGGTAAGAATCAGGCAACCTGCAAGATTCTTGTACTCTGTTCATGCCAAAGAAAGGGGGAGGGGTCTCTCTATATGACACTTCTAGCCAATCCAGTGAAAAAGTTACTTGCAACATCCATTTTGCTAATTATAGCCATGCCTCTGGCAGGCATTGGAGAGAAGAGATAGCAGAAGCCCATACAGCAGCTGGACAAGTTTTCCAGAGAGAAGAAGAAACAGACATTCAAGGAGCCTGGGGCAGGCAACAGCTTGGGATGTCTGAGGGATATAAAAAGTCCAGGATGGCCAGAGTGGGGACCCAAGACAGTGTGACAGAGGAGGGGGCATGAAAGAATGGTGAGGCCCAGATCAGCGGAGCCTTGGAGGCAAAGATGAGGAGTTTGGAGTTTATTTAACTCCAACAGAAAACCGCAAGAGAATTAGAGGGTTTAAGCAGAGGAGGATCTGTGATTACTTCCCCAGATCAAAGATCTCCAAGTGGAGCTGGGCATCCAATTTGGAAGGAGCATGTCAGGAACCTGGTTTTGAATCTTCTAGACGTAGCAACTGGGACAGTAAGTCCTCCACAGACTTCACCTTCAATGAAACTAGGAGTCAGAAATAATTCAGATATTTCTTTATTCACTTAAGGCTGGACCTCCTAGAATCAGGACAGAAATCCATAGCAGCCAGGTGGGTGTAGAGGGGAAGGTTGTGTATGTGGCATTTTCCAGTTATGGAAAACTCAAATTAAGCCAGCATTCCCAGATGGAAGAAGGATCCCACCCACCCACTAGCACCCACCCCATAGTGTGTTCTGCTAAGAAGAGGACAAACAGGTATGACATGAGTTTTGGGAACCACAGATGCATCACTTAAGAAAGTAATTTTATGAGCAGTGGTTCATACCTGTAATCCCAGCACTTTGGGAGGCCAAGGCCATTGGATCACTTGAGGCCAGGAGTTCAAGAGCAGCCTGGCTAACATGGCAAAATCCCATCTCAAAAAAAAATGCAAAAATTAGCCAGGTGTGGTGGTGTGCACCTGTAGTCCCAGCTACTTGGGAGGCTGAAGCACGAGAGTCGCTTCAACCTGAGAGGTAGAGGTTGCAGGGAGCCAAACTAAGATGATACCACTGCTGTCCAGCCTGGATGACACAGTGAGACTGTCTCAAAAAAAAAGAAGAAGAAGAAGAAAAAAGAAAAGAATTTTTAAAAGCTCCAGGCCAGAGGTAGAGGTCTGTCCTTACTGAACCAAGTCAGGAATTAGGAGTCAAAGGAAGCCAGGCAGCAGAAAGTGTTGTATTTTGCTGAGTCTAGCTAGGATTTCACTGAATCTGGAAACTGTACCCAAATTTTGGAGATAGTAAAATGTGAGAAAACATATGGTCAGTAGTGATCAGAGAATGCCATCAATGAAAAGACACATCTCGATTCCAGAGATGTTAAAAAGTGAAGAAATGAGTGGCTCAGAGTCATGAAATCATGTATTCAAGAAACAGTCACAGTGGTCCTTGAGCTGAATGATGAACCTAGCCATCTAGGCTCACCCCTCCCAAGGACTCCTCTCCTCTTCAGGACTCTCCTGCCAAAAGCTGAATCAGCAAACTGCAACTCATTCAAACATGTAGGAAATTTAAAGTTTCCACAATAGCCATACAAAGACACTACAATGAAAAAAAAAAAAAAAAGTAACACAGGAGCCAAATTTCACTGTACACAAAGAAAACTCACTGGATAATTTCAACACAATGCAAAAGAAAATTGTAACCAAACATTCCAACATAAAACTAAAAATGTAATGAAGCAAACACAGCTAGAAAGAAAGAACACAAAGCAAACATACAAGCACTCAGGGAAGAGACAGCAGGACACTAGAAAAAAGTGAAATAGGAAGGGATAGAACTTAGGCAAGAAATAGAAGAGAACAACAAAAGCATCTAGAAGTGAAGACAATGACAAGAAATGAAGAAAATTATATAGAAGCACAGGCTTGAAATCATCACACTTCCAAAAGAAAAAATAATTAGCAGTGGGATGTATATAAAATAATAGATAAATATTTTTACGTGGGGGCTTAAGGCCAGGCATGGGGGCTTATTCCTATAATCCCAGCACTTTGGGAGGCTGAGGCAGAAGGATCAATTGAGGCCAGAAGTTCAAGAGCAGCCTGGGCAATATAGCAAGACCCTGT